GCGTCGAGTTTGATTTTAGCGCGCGGTCTGGAAGGGGCGGTAGCCCCCGCGCCGCTGCTTTCCCCGCTCTGCCGCCTCCAGGCATTGGCGCTCTTGCGGGAGTGGGTTAGGGCCCTGCGGTTCCAGGGCTCTCCCAGTGGAGCAGGGGGTAAGGGATACGCATGTAGGGGCGTAGGGGCCGACCAGTTGACCGCACGGGCGCAGAGTTTCATCCTCGCGTCGCCTCTGTTGGCTCTTAGAGGCGACCAGCCCTGTAGCTGAGCCAGGTTTCCCACCCAGTGATGGACGAAGGGAAGAAACACCTTTGAGGTGTCGCCCACCCTCAGTCGGAGGGATGACCCGCTTCTTCCTGGCCGGGCTTTATACTCCTGGACACTCGCAAAGAAACCCCGTGGTGGCGCAGCCTCGACTGCTCCACGTGCGATGCTTCCATGGCTGGGCTCCTGCCTCTGGGGATTCTGACTGTTTGCCCCTGGCCCAGCCATAACTGTGACTCAAGGACCGAGGGCAGACACTGAGGTTGACACCGAGGTATGTGCCTTTTCTTCAGTCACGTGACCAGTTTGACCACATCAGCACGTGGAGAGCAAGACTCCCCAGCTGGAAGGCCATGCGGGCGGGGACCATGGAAACTGTTGACACCACCGTGTAAAAACCAACACGCTGTGACTTTTGTATCCAGGGTTGGGACTTGATAGGCGGAAGCACACTTTTTGGGGTCTACTTTCTCTAGTCATTGTTAATATCTCTGTAATAATAACGAAAAAATATACACTTTTAAAAATATGTAACGGGAAACTGGATATGTATGTGTGTTAAGTGCACACAACCTAGCGTTTTCAGCCTAATATAAGTGATCAAGTCAAGTAGACTAAAAAAAAAAATAGTTGAAAAGCTAATGCTCCATCTGTAATTTAAACACTGAAGGCATACTTGTCAAAAGAACACTTTCTTCATCCTAAAGTAGGAATAACTTCTGTGGAAAAAACAGACACTGGGAAGACAACTGAGAATACAACTTCTTTCACATTCCAGAAATGACATTACTGTAAATCTCCCTTCAGGTCCTCTTTCAAAATAGGATTTGACCAAACCAAGTTTTTATTTTTCAGTTTTTAAAAATCTTAGGAGTTTTATCTGAACTCTTTGAGTTTCCAGTCCAGTAGAACTCATTCTCTTATGTTTCTGTGACTGAGGTATAAAGCATCTATTTGCTTGCAAATTATTTAAAGAGTGCGAAGAAATCAAGCCCTGACTGGGAATCAAACCGTGACCTCCTGGTTCATAGGTCAATGCTCAACCACTGAGTCATGCGGGCTGGGCCGTCAGTTTATTTTGTTCATTAGATTCCACATAAGAGTATCATGAGATACTTTTCTTTCTCTGCCTGGCTTATTTCGCTTAGCATAATACTCTCCAGGTCCCTCCATGCTGTTTCAAAGGGTAAGAGGTCCTTCTTTTTTATTGCTGCATAGTATCCCATAGTGTAAATGTACCACAGTTTTATATAACATCCAAACTATAACCTGAAGGCACAGGTGCTATTTGAAACAAGCTATTGAGTAAACACATGTCTATATTTTTGAGCTGGGGAATTTTTTAAAGAAGTGATTTATTTTTCTGAGAGTATAGAAGCAGTTTCCTGTAAATCATATTAGTCCTGAAGGGACTGTAGCAGGAGTGGCCACAAGCCTTGTGGCATTTGTAGGAGTTGCCATTGAAGGACTAGGCAGTACATGGTTGAAAGGGTGATTATTAAGAAAATGGATGAAGACTGTCTGTTGAAAAGAAAACACAAACTACCAGCTGGCCTCAGAGAATCCAAGAAGGTTTAGTTTATGGTTTTGAAAATGGCCTGGCTATAACTGTGACAAAATCAGTCAAAGTAGTTCAAAGAGGAGTAAATAGATCCCACAGACGTTTTAGGAAAGGTGGTTTAGGTGGAACATTGACATGGCCAGTTGCTGCAACTATGACATATCTATCCGTAACTGTCCAGGAATTTAAAAACCTTCAGAAAAAGACTGTTGAAGAACAACCAGATGAATGTGTACACACACTGAATATTAGACATAGTAAGTAGTTATCAATTTTATTAGGTATGATAATGATATTATGATTCTCTTTTTTAAAAAGCTCTTATTTGTTAAAGATATACACAGGCGTGTACATAACACACACAAAACTACATTGACTTTTATTCAAGTGGTGGGATCATGACTCTTTTTAAAATCTTTAATAAAGGTAGAGTTTTCAGTCTTTATAAGTTGAAGGGTGATACAAAGATGTCACCTGTCATGGAAAAGGAAATACTTGAAAATCACAAGTATTCCATTAATGAGTGGCAAAGACTGCTAGGGATCATCAGCCTCCCTTGACTTAGTGTGGCCATATGATTGCATTCTGGCCAATGAAATGTTAGTGGAATTGATGTGTACCCTTTCAAGCCATCAAACCTTCCATGCATTTTCTTATTTTCTTTCCTTATCTCTCAGCAGCAGGACAAGACTCCTAGAAAGGAGTGGAGCCAAAAACTGGATGGAGTCCGGATCCCTAAATAACTGCTCCTCTCTCCATTGAACTTCAATGCACCACAAAATGAGTAAGAAGCACATTTTGTTGTGTTAAACCACTAACATTTTGGAATTGTTTCTTACAGAAGTTAGTCTACCATGACTATATAAGTCACCACCAAATTTTGAGATTATTAAATGATAACAGAAAGTGGTGGTTTGAATAGGACCAAAAGAATTCTCACAGGTTAGGCTTCCTAGGAAGCAGACTCTGAAGCAGAGATTAGCATGTAGGAAATTCACTGTGAAGTGTCTTTGGGATCGACACCTTTGGGATAGTAAAGAAGCAGGACTGGGCAGACGGAGAAGTTGACCTGTGCGGCAGGGACAACAAAGGCCTCTGTGAATTCCATGGGTAGCTTTAGAGCTAGGATGTTCTTTCAGACTTGTCTGAAGTTGAGAAGAGGGGACAATTGTATCCTGCACATGGCCACTTTTTGCATATGGGCACCCCTTGGGGAAGAGGAGTGGACCTTGGATGAGGCAGCTTCCTTTGGTGGTGAGCAATCCCTGAGGGAGAATTGAGTTGTGAGCCCTCAGTAGCCAAAACTCCTGCAACGATGGAAATGAGTGTCTTGGTCATAAAGGTGGATCTGGGCAGTGCAACACATATCCACTTGAGGGATATTCAAGAAGCTGGTTTGTGAGGGGCAATATGCTTCTAATGAATAGGCCAAAGAGCTATATATTATTTATGAAGAAGACTTCCTACTGGGGCCAAGAGATAAGTAAAGTTTGTATTACATGCCAAGGAGTTTAAGAAAATAATTAATATCAAGATACCAGGAGATGGTAGATAGAAGAAGCAAGAGAATCTTCCTTGAGGTTCTAATTGAGAGGGAGACTTGGCTAAAGATAAGCGCAAGCAAGAAAATACAGCTTCCAATGTTTCCCTTCACTGGCTTTCTGATGATGATAATCAGTTTCATTGAAAACCAGTTGGAGACTGGTAAAATTATCAAAAGGAGGTTCACTGAGGTTTTAAAAACTTGATTCTTAATAAATTTTTAAAGATGGCAATCTTTGCCTTAATGAATCTTTATTATTTGCTGCAAGGGGATAGAAAAACTGCCTAAAGATAAACTCCATTTGGAGCTTAAGTCTAATGTTTTTTTTGAAAATATATTTTATTGATTTTTTACAGAGAGGAAGGGAGAGGGATAGAGAGTTAGGAACATCCATGAGAGAGAAACATCCATCAGCTGCCTCCTGCACACCCCCTACTGGGGATGTGCCCGCAACCAAGGTCCATGCCCTTGACCGGAATTGAACCTGGGACTCTTCAGTCCACAGGCCAACGCTCTAGCCACTGAGCCACACTGGTCAGGGCTTAAGTCTAATGTTTTAAAATTACATTGTGAACTCTGCTTGCTTCACAGAGCCTGAGTGAGTGAGGGGTAGATTGATTGAAGGCAACATTGCCTCAGGAGTAGCAAAAGAACTTGTGATGGAGTATGTACCCTTCCCCTTGAAGTTATTATCCTACCGCCAAAACAAGAGGAGTAATACAATTATCATCTGTACTCCCATTATCCCTTATTAATAACTAATAATCCTATCTAAGAAAAGGCTAATATGCAAATTGACCAAACGGCAGAAAGACCGGTTGCTATGACATGCACTGACCACCAGGGGGCAGACACTCAATGCAGGAGCCCCCTGGTGGTGGTCAGTGTGCTCCCACAGGGGGAGTGCTGCTCAGCCAGAAGCTGGGCTCACGGCTGGTGAACGCAGAGCGAATGTAGTGGTGGTGGCAGGAGCTTCTCCCACCTCCTCGGTGGCAGCGCTAAGGATGTCTGACTGCCTAAGCTGTTGGTTGGACATCCCCCAAGGGCTCCTGGACTGCAAGAGGGCACAGGCCGGGCTGAGGGATACCCCCATGAATTTCATGCACTGGGCCTCTAGTTAGTTAATAAATAAATATTTTTTTCATAGTCCAATGATCTTTTTTTACTTACAAGTATTTTTATTTTTATCTTTACTGTCAAGATTTTAGTTGCTCTTATAATTTTGCTTATTAGAGAAATGAGAAAACTAATCCATTTAGAGAACAAGAGCATTTAGAATTTTGAGAGCCCAGATGCAGTCCCAAAAGCTTAATTATTACTCTTTTAAAGTAGTTCTGAGATTAAAAGTCATACTTATAATAAAACTCTTGATTTTTCACAGAGAGGAAGGGAGAGGGATAGAGAACCAGAAACATTGATGAGAGAGAAACATAGATCAGCTGCCTCCTGCACACCCCCCACTGGGGATGCGCCCGCAACCAAGGTACATGCCCTTGACCGGAATCGAACCCGGGACCCGTTAGTCCGCAGGCCGACACTCTATCCACTGAGCCAAACCGGTCAATAAAACTCTTTCAGTTCACTATTTTTTTAAATTTTTAAAACTTAAAACTTACAAGTACTTAAAAAACTTTTTAAATAAAAAATCATTGGTTGAAATCATACTCAAGCATAATCTCATGACTACCTTTCTAATCACATGGTGACATTTAGATAACCTTTACTAACTCTTAAGATAAATGGTGAAAAAGTGGGAACTTGCCCAGGAGAGGAAAGCCCCCTGAGATTTCAGAGCTACAGAAATAAGTCCTCAGGCCAACTCCATGGGTGCTGACTTGATCTAGTTCATGTTTTATTGGAATGCTGACTTCAGAGGAAACTTCTTGAAACCTCACAAATACTGACTTCTTTCAGAAGCTGGTAATATGAAACAAAACAAAGTTTCCAACAACTCAGTTGCAATGAATTGTACTTGAGAACAGACAGTTCCTGTTAGAAGTAACCATACCCTGTCATGTAACCCAGCAAGCTGCCCTGAATCACCACACTTGAGAATTTCAGGTTTGCTTTTTCTAAGTTTCCTATTGCGGGGAACATCACTCTTTTCAATGACCATCTCTTTGAAACAGAAATCACAGGGTTTACCTGGAAAATAAGGCATTATGATATTTATTTATTTATTTATTTAAAATATATATTTTTATTGATTTCAGAGAGGAAGGGAGAGGGAAAACATTAATGATGAGAGAAACATTAATGATGAGAGAATCATTGATTAAGGCATTATGATATTTAGAGGTGTGTGTGTGAGTGTGTGTGTGTGTAACAATGCTAATGAATATAAACTATGAAAGGACTGGTTTAGGGTACTTCCTAAAAATACCTGACTAACTTTTATCTGCCTGCTAAGTTAATACTGATTGTTGGCAGGAGGTGTCAGTTCCATGCAATGTGGACATGTTCATAGGGATGTCTAAGTGTTCTCACGACATGTTATCTGGCTTCCTCAGCCATAGCCGATTTGGCTCAGTGGATAGAGCGTGGGCCTGTGGACTGAAGGATCCTGGGTTTGATCCCAGTCAAGGGCATGTACCTGGGTTGCAGCCTCCGCCCTGGCCAAGCCCACGGAGGAGGCAACCCAATCAATGTGTTTCTCTTACATGGATGTTTCTCTCTGTCTTTCCCTCTCTCTTCCACTCTCTCTAAAAATCAATGGAAAAATATTCTCGGGTGAGTATTAAAAACTCCCACAAAAAACAGAGTGAGTGATTAAAGGAGCAAGACAGAGGCTGTAATTTATTTTGAAATTTTATTATTCTACTTATTTTTAATTTTTATTAAAGTATAATTTATATACAGCATTATAAATCTGTAACATTTTCTATGACCTATACATGGAAATAATACTGTTTTTCTTTAATATAGTTATACAAGTTAGCCCCCTTCAGTGTTATCCTGGGTTTGATCCCAGTCAAGGGCATGTACCTGGGTTGCAGCCTCCGCCCTGGCCAAGCCCACGGAGGAGGCAACCCAATCAATGTGTTTCTCTTACATGGATGTTTCTCTCTGTCTTTCCCTCTCTCTTCCACTCTCTCTAAAAATCAATGGAAAAATATTCTCGGGTGAGTATTAAAAACCCCCACAAAAAACAGAGTGAGTGATTAAAGGAGCAAGACAGAGGCTGTAATTTATTTTGAAATTTTATTATTCTACTTATTTTTAATTTTTATTAAAGTATAATTTATATACAGCATTATAAATCTGTAACATTTTCTATGACCTATACATGGAAATAATACTGTTTTTCTTTAATATAGTTATACAAGTTAGCCCCCTTCAGTGTTGGAGGGGACTACACAAGTATGTGAAAAACAGGAGGTGAGACACTTGGGGGTAATTTGGGGATCTGTTCCTCTCAGTTCCAGTTTTAAAATTCCTGAGAAAGAGACCAATAGACCCTCTCTCTAAAAATCAATGGAAAAATATTCTCGGGTGAGTATTAAAAACTCCCACAAAAAACAGAGTGAGTGATTAAAGGAGCAAGACAGAGGCTGTAATTTATTTTGAAATTTTATTATTCTACTTATTTTTAATTTTTATTAAAGTATAATTTATATACAGCATTATAAATCTGTAACATTTTCTATGACCTATACATGGAAATAATACTGTTTTTCTTTAATATAGTTATACAAGTTAGCCCCCTTCAGTGTTGGAGGGGACTACACAAGTATGTGAAAAACAGGAGGTGAGACACTTGGGGGTAATTTGGGCCTCTCAGCCTCTCAGTTCCAGTTTTAAAATTCCTGAGAAAGAGACCAATAGACCCATTTGAGGTCAGGTGCCCACTCTGTTTGTTTGTTTGTCTGAAGGAGACTGGCAGCATTACTACTTAGTTATACTGCTAATTAACCTTCAACTATTTGTATAGCACATGAGAAATAACGCAGGTGCCCACTCTTAATAAGACCAATTGATTATGCCTGGTTGGAAGCTTGCTCTGAGATACGGTAACATTTCTCACGTCCTATTCATTTTATTACAACACTAGAGGCCTGATACATAAAATTCGTGCAAGGGACTCGGCCCTTGCAGCTGCGGTGGCTTGCTTCCGGGGCTTTGTCCAGAAGGTCGTCCGGAAGGACACCTGGAAGGACATTTGGAAGGTCGTTCGGCTGTTTGGTCTAATTAACA